ATCCGGTTAGGTTGTCTCGTTTTTACGCAGCCCCCCGCTAAATCAGATTTTTGGATAAGTGACGCGGTTTCTAATGCTGAGACCTACTTAGTGATACCTATGAAGATCGCAAGCAGGATCTTATAGCATTGCCATCTAAAAGCATTAACGTACGGCACATAGTAACCTTACCTTGCGCAATTACTTCGCTATGTGCCGCCCACACATTAAAAACGCTTACCTTGAGTTTGCCAAAGGACATGGTGCTGTCACAACTCTCCCGGTGAATGTCCTCACGGGATAGGCGAAGTGGAGGGCAGCTATCGATGAATTCACCTAGGGCGTCATCCAGCACGATTTCGGTCGTAGACTGGATGCTGAATTTACTGTCGGCCATCTTGCCTTGCGGTTGACAACTGCCTGTTACAGAGGAGAGGAACTGAACGTGAATTTGCGTAGCTTGATTTACTGCCTCCTGTAAACGCGCGTTAATGAGCAAACAACCCAAATGAGCTAACCGCTTTCCATACAGAAGATGAGCCATCACCATTTTGTGTACGACATACCGCCCATTAATTGTTACTCCACCTATTTATCTTCCCTCGCAAAAATAACTCTCGAGTTGGGAGGCAAAATTTCGTGGGTCAAACTCCCTCACGTGATCAGTAAGGCGCGTCATGGTCTCAATCTACGTTTGACCTTCACGGATGACTTTGAATGCAAGTAATTTGTTTTCTGCGAATTGCAATTAGCTAGCATTCATTCGGATGTACTGCTGCTAATGCCATGACGGCTCAGCAAATGTGAGAGACAAATATATTGAGTGAGAGGCTCAAGCCCAATTCCATCGGCGAAGACCATGATGGTTGCAATGACGAACATTTACGCTATCACCACCTGATACTTGGTTAGTAAGTACGATTCACTGCCCAGAATACCAACAAGATATTGTAAATCACTGTGGGATCATAAAATGCCTCTGTCAATACACGCCAATGTAAGTACATACTGTGAAGCGCGCACGGAGATTACCAACAGCGACAAGCCACAACCAATGCCTAGCGAATTTCTGGGAAAACAGCGGGCATTACAATGAGGTTCGTCTTGGTACGTAAATCGGGGGATCATACGTCATGACGAAGCGAGTAGAAGACGCTAAGTTTAAAAAAATCACTAGACTTTCCCCAGATGGACGAGGAACGTTTAAATATAGGATGTCGAAACAATCGCGTTTATACTTCATGCACACGCAAACGCCGAATTAGGGAAGGTACGCGTTATATGACAACATTTGTAATATAATAACACGTTCGATATGAAAACACGAACACATACGCATATAACGTAATATCACGTGTAAGGTAATTCACGGGATTCTGGGAAATATGCGGTCCGTCGTGTCACGGCTACGCGTGTTCGCTTCAAGGACATTCGCGCAGTTTTTGAAGCGCGCACGATGACACTCCGCTCTGTGCCAAACACGGCAATTATTTCACATGTCAACCACGCGGGTGTAGACGACACGAGTGCACTGTAAACAGCACGTGAAGCAATCAGCTTACTCCTGCTAATTTCTCATAGATGAGGTCGAATAACTTCGCCATTATCGGTGAAGTTTATGCACAAAGCGACAGCCCTGTGTTTGAATAGTTAAAATAATCATTGGACTTTTAACAAGAAATCTCGAGTCTTCAGCGCCGGGTTACTATACCTCACTCAAAGAACCCACCTTATAGTAGAGGATACTATATTCATCTCGAAAAATGTTATTACGTTTTATTAAATCAACAACGTTTATTACATTTAATTAACAAACAAATATATCATATTTGCAGTTATCTGTCATTACGCGGTGCTTAATAACTAGCTGCATTAAACCATTCACGTATATCCAACACACACCACACTATTGCATAGAAAGGTGTGAGAAAATACGTCTCAAATAATAGTGCCTGGCACGGCTATAGACATTTTAGGGCAGTGGCGCATAGTACAAAGTCCTGCAATATACCTGTCCTACCTATATATAATATACGATACGAATTTCACGTACAGCCGTACAGCACGACGCGTGCACAGAAAAACATCCACCTCCTTTGGAATCCACGTAATAATTCTATTGTACAATAGTAGCCTAGTATCTTATAAAATAGTAATAATATCACGCATATATTTGTATATATTTTTCACTTACTAGGAACGATGTAGTTATTAGGTATTTACCTTTATATAGAAGAAACACATATGGGCAATGTACAGTGTATGGGGCATGACAGAAATCAAAGCGAACCCAAATGTGCACGTGTATTGCGTGTATGTGTGGTGTCTGATCACAGATCAGGCTCTGATATATTATGATAATTTTAAAATCAGTGTTTAGTAAGCAATTTTCTATTTCTTAAGGACTACATTTGGACCAGCAATACAGCTAAAATGAATATAGAAAGCAGCCTGATGTCAATGGCAAGAGACGAAATGTCAAATGTTATGTATGTAAGCATAGCATAGAATTCAATGTATGATGAAATTTCCCTTTGCTCGTATTGTCGATATTTACTTTTTTTTAAATCCACGCATTACACTATGTTTAACTACAGGCGCACTTAAAATTTACCTAGGTGTTGTTTGTCAACGCAGTGTGGCTATATATAGCGCACCGGTTGAAACAGGAGATTCGCACAACACTCGCTGTGTCAGCTAGAGCATGGCGACAGGCGATGAACAGGAATGATATTGCCAGCCATAACCATAACCTCGACAAATAAATTGCAGTACACAAACAGGTAAAACAGGGAAGGGCAACAGGAGAAGTACATTGAAACTGATAGTCGTAGGTTCCTCCTCATGAATCCGTCACAAAAGACAAGAGTAAGTTCGTAACGGCACGCTATGTTAAAATCCGCCATTGAAGTGCCTATATGCTATACACGAATATATATATATATACATATATAATGACATTATGCGCCTGTTAACTACGTTTTTTATCGCGACATCTCTATTTGTTACTGGTACACAGTAGTTAGAGTTTTACTAGACTTACTTGGTAAAGTGTAGAAAAAATATTCTCGCCTCAAAGCTGTATAGGCCCGCAGCGAGTAACACTCCTGCTAGCTTTGCACGTTAACCCTTGCTAGCTGAGCTTGAATGAAATGTCATAATTTCCCGCAGCAGATGAACATCCGTTGTCTCGCGGGCTTGTGTGTCGTACGTTCGGCTGAACAGTCATTGAATGGCATCAAGCAAGCGTACAGTGACGCAAACCAATATCAACGTGGAAAATCGCATGCAGCAGCGACCGTTGATCACGTTGAAAAGAGATCGTTCGCATGCCTAATACATGAATTATGAGCGTGGTACGCATTTGATATGCAGGTGGCAAAGTACACTAGGGTTGTCATTAAACGTAAATCAGGGGCGTGTGCAAGTTGTCTGTATGTACATAGCCGTGACTATCTAATCGCGAACGGAAAATATACGGGAAGACGGTCGATGCTACATGACGGGAAAGTATGAAAGTGAGATAGGGATAGCAGGAGAGAAAACAAGGACCCCTACAAGCGTAAATATAGGCGTATCTGTGGTTTGCGCACATCTCCATACAGTCTGTATCGCCCATTACGAGCGTACGCCGCTAAGGAAATTTGGTATGAAAACAGATCGAGCAATCTTCCTGACAACTAGACCGCTTCCCTTAATATTCTCTATATCCATATAATATAATATTATATATTATAATAAACTAATAATATTATCATATTAATTATCGTATCGCGCGTTTTGTCAATTAAAAAATGCTTAAATTTAATTTATTCAATCAATATATATGTAAGATATGATAAATAGGCGTTTGTTGGACATGGGACCCGGAGGTCACGCCTCTTGTATTCTCCAGAGTCGAGTTGTGTCTACACGCTGACGCAGCATAACGGGATTCATTACACGCCGTCACGGCCATCGCGATGTTTTCCGGCACGTTGAGTTTTTCCAGTTGCACGCTGCGTTGCTGGCATAGTTGTGCGGTCTCGGGTATAAAAATATACTTAATACAGTCACACGAAGGCTTTCCACGTTAGCAAAAGTGACCTTCACTCAAAACTCTTTAGCGTCGACAGCGCAAACTCTGCAAACACCAGTCAGTAAACAAGCGAATGTGCGTGGCCGGCCCTCTAGATCTGCGTGTGCCTTGCGCATGTAGACGCAAAGGTCCTGTACGTAGCCCACTGGCTACGTAGTTTAGAGGCTAGTCAAGGCGCAGCGGTGAACCCTGGTCTACGAGTGGGCGCTCGTGTTCGTTTCCCCCAAGTTCTGCAGCAGGAGAGGAGAGGCTGGAGGGAGAGGCAACGCTGGCGGCTGTGCGCGGGGTCATTCATGCCTGTCAGTACACAGCGAACTGTGTAACAGGATCCAGTAAGCTGAGCCTCGCCCAGTCTGCGCAATATTTGCCGTCGAACGATTCCCCGGCGCGAGCCCGCTATAGTTAAAAGGATCTTATGAGTCATATATATATATATATATATATATATATATATATATATATGCTCTCAAAGACTCTGGTAAACACCACCTCTGCAATGCACCGGTCGTCTTTAAAGCTGGCATATAATGTAATCTACGGCAGAGGACGCCCTCTCCCGATCATCTCTCTAGTTTGGCGGTGCAAATGATCAGCCCGTTTTCTCCCCGACGCTGTAAGGAATACACCTTTTTCGCGGTCCTTTGTCATTCCGATTTATTTTCATTTTATCTCCATATATGATAACATTTCGCTTCGTTTTGATGTGAATGTTATTTCTATTTACAATTTGTTTTTAACTAGATTCTCGATCGGTAATTTATTGTATGGTGAGTTATTCCTGCCTGTGATATAAACAGAGATTTACTACTCGTCGCCTCTGTGGTAGTAAATACTACCACACGCGTGTAAGCAGAACATCACACGTTGGAAATAGTAACATAATAAATAAAGGGCATGCATAAAAGCTTCGTATTAAGTTTAATATAAAATGAAAAATAATAAAGCAAAGGAACTTTCAGTATCAGTATTATTAAAAATATTTTAATACTTCAATCCTGAAAATATATAACTTAGAAAGTCTATATAGACCAGAATCTTGTTATGCTTGAACACACTTCACATTCGAAATATGTGAATTTTACATTTCAGTACGAGCATATAGTGCTGGATACATTGTTAAAATTAACAATTAACATGTACAATGTACAATGACTAAAATAACGAGTATACACACTCAGTATTAATGCATCCCCATAAAAAAGATTGGCAGCGCGTATGTATATGGCACTAGCAGACCAGCAACCCATCTAAACAAAATTATGCGTAGTCAACATAAATCATAAGCTAATAACACACATTCACAGCACACGGCTGTCGAAATATACCGACAATACTCCCACGGGACACCGCAAATAGTTTTCTATACCCATATTAGGATAGGAAACATTAGCATCCTTTAGCTGTAAACCGTACCACGGCGTGATGTGTAGGCAAATAAAACCTGAACAGGACATTTGTGGACAGGTACACGCGACTTTTCGGCGCGTGTGGGAGCAGCTCCAAAAAGTACACAAGGGAGAGCCGTACGTTTAACCGGTCAGGCGGTTTTAGCATTTCATCGTGGAACAGACGGCAGTTAACGGAACCGCACATTTGCGCGTGGTCAATGAGGATACCAACATCATATCGCACAACCAAGCGTAAATTATACAGATTTATTGTGTAATATACATATATACAACCTTCGTGGTGACCTACGTGATAATACAAAAATAACTTTGGTGTAAACGAAGCAGGCTATTTCGCTGGGAATAACGTTGTGATGTCAGAGACAACATGAGAAATTAAGATAAAGCGGCTCGCTGATCGAATCTGAGGGAACGTGGAGAGAGGACTACTCTGAGAAAACGGAAAACGAAACAAGAGCAGCAAGAAAGACGGGAGATGAGAACAAATCTAGGGAAAGCAGCAGTCGGGTGAAGGAGAGGACATTTCACGCACAGCAAAATCAAAGAACAACAGCAGCGTAACCAATAAAACCACTGGAACTAACTGCGAAGCGAGGAATCTTACTAGTGCGAACATTAATAGCCTAGAGGACATCGGTAGAAGTGCACTACAAGTTGCCACTAGAAAGACTCCCGGCCACCACGTTTGTAACACCGTACCCATATTCACTCGTTTTACGCCACAAATTCGACCTTTAGCCATTCCGCGCCCGTTTCGAAGTGAGATACGCAGATCTCAGAGAAGTGCGGAATTGCATAATCCCTGCAAAACAATTCAACATGATCGACGCAGGCAGTAACTGGGCGCGTCTGCTCACGACACTCCACCTGGTAGCAGCGATCGCTGGCTTTAACCTCGCCGTCGATCAGCCGATCATCTACAACGGCCCGCGCAACAGTCACTTCGGCTACCAGGTTAGATTCCTGACCAACGCGGGAGGAACGTGGCTACTGGTGGGTGCACCCAAGTCGGCGTCTGCGTACATTCCTCCGGAGGTGAGTGAGCCTGGTGCTCTCTACAAGTGCCAGATCACCGATGGCTCCAGCTCCTGCTTCGAGGTGAAAGTTGACGAGGAGCCGAATCTCTGCATGATAACACCGAGCGATGGCGTGAACAGGCCATGCAGTCTGAGCGAGTCGAACACCTACATCTGGCATAGAAAAGACAACCAGTGGTTAGGTGAGTACTATCACGCCATAGCTAACGACGCCATGTCGTCGTCGACATCTATTTAACTGCTGATAGCACTTCATCCTATTCTCTAGATGACCCATGAGTCGTACAATTATGAAACAATTTGTCTTGAGGTTTCTGGATAAGATGTAAATATTTCCAACACATTATTCCCAAATTATTCCCATACTGACCCTGAACCCCACCTCACCCAAACCGCGTCTGTACTAGTTTACGTATAACAACTGGCTTTCTAAAACCTAGGCCATTTCACATTTTGTCTTTAACAAAATAGAATATTGTGCCCGTTGGAATATTCCAACTTCCAAGCAGAAGTATGCAACAGTTAATTTGACCATATTAATATATAAGAACATTAACGATCGTGTTTAATATTTTGTACATAACAAGCACGACACAGAATGAATATTGGCAAATACCAATTGGTTTGACCTATTCACATTAACCACACCATTGCCCACGGCAGTGAATTAGAGTAAAGCGACGACCTGGGAGCTGTTCTCAGAAACATCGGAAAGTGAATACTAATGTTAATGCTAAGATAGCACTTACGACTATGACTAATTTTGTTTCTGACAATGGGTGCCTGACCATAATTGCCTAGTGACCAAGTACACACGGTAAATGCCACGGTGGGCTTCATTATGATGGTACAAGGAACCATCACCGTGTTAGGGCGCCTTACTTACATCATGCCCATGTTCATAAATTCACTCGAGATTCCTCAAAATACTTATATATTACTATAATAGCTTCATCCACCACCTACACGCTATACCATGCGCAGGAACACACACTGCCACAATGCAGCTGCTCATTCACGCATACAGGGAAATTCACTTTATACAAAGTACTATACTTCTAAAGCATACATAATTAGGACCATATTCATGATTTCATCAATACAATAAACACACAAGGGTATCACAGTCAGCATGATTTTCACGGGTCAAACAGGGAGCAGACTTGAGACAGGACATTCATACAACTACGGTGCACACTGGCTGTTCTGTAGAGTGGTCCCCGCTTGATCCGACCTCGAATAAACTGTCAAATCGCTTGATCGACATGTCTTTGAAAAGCAATCCTTATGCACGTTGTTAAAAGTGTTCATCCGTTAATCGACACCACCCCTTACTCGAGAAATTCTCACGGTTCCCGACCTGTCCCAACGAACCTCGTCGTACCCCGCCGTGTTACAGACGTCGTCCTGAGTGCGCGTACAACCGTACTCAACACGTGCACATCTCACTCTTCAGGTGCAGGGCTGGACGTGTGGGACGGCGGCGGCGGCGGTGGCAACAGCAAGGTGACGGTATGCGCGCCGCGCTGGATAAACCAGTTCTTCAGCCGGCCCGAGCCGGAGGGCATCAGCTACTACTTCATGAACGGCTACTGCTGGGAGCTGGACGCCGAGCTGCGGTTCTCGTCCGTGCGGCCGCTCCACCCGCTTGCCGACATCAACCTCCAGGTGCAGAACTTCCAGAACATCTACGCCAACGGCATGGCGGGCCTCGCCGTCCACTACGCGTCCGTCGCCGCCGGCAACGCGTCCGTCGCCGCGGACGACGACGACACTCTGCTGCTCGGCGCGCCGGGCGTCTGGGACCACACGGGCACCGTCGTCGCGTACCCAGCGGGCGAACGCACGCCAGGGGGCGCCACCGTGCCGCTCGTCGTCGAGCTGCTGACCGACACGCTGCTAGGCTACGCCGTTTCGTCGGGCGTGTTCTTCGCCGGCGGAGCGCGACTCGTCGTCGCAGGGGCGCCACGCGACGCGCTCGCCGACCGCCACCTTGGCGCCACCTACATCTACGAGGGCGCCTTCGAGGTGCGAGTCAAGAAGCACGGCGCCCTCTATGGCGAGTACTTTGGCGCGGCGGTCTGCGCCGTCGACCTCGACAACGACGGACTGTCTGAGCTGCTCGTGGGGGCGCCACTGCACTACGACGGCGACCGCCACGACGCCGGCCGCGTCTACGTGTACTGGAACACAGGGGGCGCCGCGGGCGACCCATTACGCGAGCAGGACGAGAAGCTAGAGGGCAGCGGCATCGCGGCGGCACGCTTCGGCACGACAATCGCCGCCGTTGGTGACCTTGACCTCGATGGCTTCGGCGACGTCGCGATCGGCGCCCCCTACGAGGACGCGGGCGCGGGCGTCGTGTACATCTACCGCGGCGCGCGCGGCCGGGTGCTCGCGGCGCCCTCCCAGCGCATCGCCGCCATCGACGTATCGCCGTCGCTCGCCGGATTTGGCTGGAGCGTCGTCGGCCGCACGGACGTTGACGGCAACGGGTACGCGGACGTCGCGGTGGGAGCGTACGCGTCGAGCGCGGCCGTGCTGCTGCGCGCGCGCTCCGTCGTGCACGCGCGCGCCACGCTCGCCTTCACGCCCGCGCGCGTCAACGTCAACCGCACCGACTGCGCGCGCGACGGCCGCGCGGTGCCCTGCGTGATCGTCACCGCATGCTGGAACTACACGGGCGCGCGCGTGCCCGCCGCGCTCGCCGTCAGCTACAGCGTTAGCGTCGAGGAGCGCGAGGGGGCGGCGCCGCGCGTCCGCTTCTACGTCGGCGGCCGGCTGCTGCGACACGTCGGCGGCATCGTCAGCCTGCAGCGCGGCGAGACGGCGTGCGAGGCGTTCGAGGCGCACGTCGCCGCCGACGCCACCGACGTCTTGAACCCGCTCGCGTTCGCGCTCGAGTACGGCCTGCCGTCCGCCGCCGCGCTTGCCCCGACCTTTGACCCGACGACGCGCACGCGGGTCGTCGAGCAGCTGCACTTTGAGACGGACTGCGGCGGCGACGACGTGTGCGTCGCCGACCTGCGCGCGTCGCTCGCGCTCGCCGGCGGCGCCACCTACGTCATGACGGGCCGCGACGCCGAGCTGCGCTACGTCGTGACGGTGGCGAACGGCGGCGAGAACGCGTACGAGACACGCGCGCACGTCGCCTACGCCTCCGCCGCGCGATTCATCGCCGCGCGCTCGCCCGACCGCGCCATCGCGTGCACCGTCGCCGCGGCAAACTCCACCTCGCCCATCGAGCTGCTGCGCTGCGATGTCGCCAACCCGCTGTCGCGCGGCGCGGCCGTCGCGTTCGAGCTGCGGCTCGACGCCAGCGCCCTCGCCGGCGACGACTTCACCGTGTACGTGCAGGCGACGACGACGAGCCAGGAGGAGGAGGCGACGCTCGCCGACAACCGCGCCGAGCACACCGTCGCACTGAGACGCGAGGCGCGCGTCGTGCTGACCGCGTCCGCGCAGCCGCGACAACTGCTGTTCGCGCGCGAGGGCGCCACCGTCGCCGTCGCTGCCGGCGACGGACACAGCCGGCTGTTCGTGCACACGTACGACGTCTACAACGCGGGGCCTAGCGCGGTGAACGGCTCCGACCTGTACCTCGAATTCCCACGTAGGACGACGGATGGCAGCAGCTTCATAACCTTCCTCCAGTTTGTCTCCAAGCCAACCGACAAGCATATTCAGTGTAGCCAATCGCCAACGGGGATAGATCCCTTTGGGATTCAGGAATTCGAGTCAAACGCCACTGCGTACAAGCTCGTCGCAGGGGAAACGCACACGACGCTCAACTGCGAGACAACGGAATGTTTTGTCTTGTACTGTCGGGTGGCAGCACTCGAGGAGAGGGAGAGCGCGTACGTGCAGGTGCGTTTACGGCTTAACGAGACCTTGCTCCTGGAACAGCACCCCGACGCCGACACCATCTCCTTCACGAGCACGGCTACCCTGGAGCTACCCGGCGACATCGTGCAACCCGGCGGGGAGCGGACGAAGACCGCGGAGGCAACAACGACACTGATACGCGAGGACAGCTCGACGGTGCCAGCAGAGGGCGTTGCCGTCTGGATCATCATCGTCTCCGTATTGGCCGGCCTCCTGCTGCTGGTCATACTCGTCCTCGTTCTCATGAAGGCTGGCTTCTTTAAGAGAAAGAAGAAGGAGGAGATGGACAAGATAATACGAGAGAGCAGCAAGGAGGGTGAGGTGTATGAGGAAAAGGAAGGAAGCATCGACAATAGGCCCCTGTCAACAAGCAGTGACCATGTTTAGCATGATCGCACAAGGCTGTACGATCATATCGCAGTACGATCGCCCTGTCATATTAGCAGATTCCTTGTAAAATAAATAATGCAGAATGTACGTGAGCAACCTGCTAACAAAAACCTGGCTGGCATTCCTTAACACCACAAGAATTCCACAATTGCAGATTGAGCTTTTATAAACCACGTACGTCTGCACACTTATTAATCCATTCATCTGTATATACTACACGAATAGTATTGGCTAATTAAACATAATCTAATTATTATGCAATCTCAAAATACTATTACTACTACTACTACTACTACTACTACTACTACTACTACCAGGAGTAAGATAATATAGGATATATTCTATATTATCTTACTCCTGCTACTACTGATAATCATAATAATTTGTATGATTATTTTTAATATTTTCATTAAAAGGAGATATGCAATACTCAAGGTTCAAGGTTTTAGTTATTTTTTAGTCTTATATCCTAGGCAGGAATTCCAAAAATTATTTTATGAGCAATACATGAAAATTTGCATGTTAAACTTGCTGATATCTGTCAAGGGTCTGATGCCAGATTAAGTACATTCATTCATCTTCAAATCTGGATGAACAGTCATGAGAGCAGAGAAATAATAATTCTTAGGATCTAGACATGCTTTTATACCTTACCATTCACAACGATCATACATGACTTCTTTGATAAGTGATGCACATATCTTAACCAATGTCAAACGTTTCGTCTTTTATCACGAGTTTACATCTACTAACCTGTTTACACTCTTCCATTTACATATTCTTCCCAGTGTTCTAGAAGAGCGCAATCTTTTGCAGTGTATTCTAGAATCACAGTACTTCCACTGCACAACTGAAACTCTTGCTTTCTCTCTCCCACCTGCCGGAGGGTCAATGCCAACGGCAAAACGATTCCGTTCTCACCAGAATACATCTGCAGTTTCTAGAGAAGAGAGAAAAATCAATAATGAAAATGACAATGAAAATGCATTGTGCGAAGACTAGACAAAAATGAATTCTGGGAAATGTATCTTTTGTTTGTAGAGTTTGCTTGTTTATCAGTTGGCTTACTAAAGCACAGCCTTCATATATAAATCAGTTAGTTCATATCAGTTAGTTATATCATATCAGTTAGTTCACTGACTGCAAAAAATGAGGCAGCAATGATTTAAGCACTACTAAACCAATCACATTCTTCTAAGTTCTAGTATTCATGAAGAAGCAGAACGCATCTAGCACACCTTCTCTGTGTTTGTGTTGTTGTAGTTGGCGAGCTTTACTGCAGCAGCAACGTAGTCCAGTGCCTTGCCAACACTCCACTCCTACTGACGGAAAAACGTGCAATAGTTAAACCTCTGAGCTAATTACCCCTACAATTACATTATCTAATGCTTACTCTAATCTTGGAAAATAATGCTTGCAGTATCAATAACCACTGTAAATATGGTAAGTGTTGAAAAATAATGCTTACAGTATCAATAATTACTGAGAATATGACTAGTGGTAAAAAGTCCCATACACACAAGTAGAATAGAAAAAAATAATTTTGGTATAAATTAGTAAGCGTGTGTACACGGTTTTTTGGCCGCAACACAGATTATGTCGTTGAGTTTATAGCTTTGCATCGTATGGTACTGCTAATATTAAACAATACCCTGAAACTTTGAATAGACATTTGGCAACCCACATAATATTGCTTGGCAACATGGTTTTAGATTATGACCAGAGAGGTTAAGAACCAATGTTTCAGACCTTTACATTTGCATAATTTTTAATGCTGAGAGATATATATTGCATAGATTAGTGATAAAGGAAATATAATTAGCATATGGGTACACTTAGACAGGAATAAGGACATAAAACTTCCCTAGTTAGGGAAGGCATAACCATTACGTCACATACTATGGAGAAGAAGAGTGCACTGCTCATCTCTTTCCCATCCCGCGGAAGAACCACATTCAGATAGATGCGCTCGGAATGAGTGAGACCATTATCACCAGTTGCCCTTTGCTTCAACTTCATAAGGGTCACCTTAGAAGATAGTTTTTTTGACTTTGCTCCTTTCACCTTCAGTGGAATTTTGTGAGCCTGGTTTTCTGCAAAATGCCAGAAAGATAATAGTCTAATAGCTCACAAAGAAAATGTCAACAGATCAAAATAGGTGACATTCAACCATACTACGTAGATAATTAAAAAAAAAGATTCAAGACAGAAAACACCTATCCGATACAATGTTTACCAATAATGGGAAGAAGTTGAAGCGCACTACACTAAAAGTCAGCTTTAGGTAAAGTGTTAAGTAACAGTAACAGAAACATCATACTATGCTTTTATGTGATACAATACTGTAATACATACCTGCCCAAAACTAAAATACTACAAGAGCACATCATACCACTGTACAAGATAAGTTTGCCACATCTCATGCTCCAGCTTCTTAAATGGCAAGTGTTATTATTCTTATTCTTGGATGTTATATGATTCTATAGGAGCAAATGCTCTAGTAAGAGCAACATTGGGATAATCGGCACAACCAACTTTGCCAGGTTGTCGGATAACAGAGCTATTACCGTTAGAACGACATATTAGTTATCAATACAAGAATGGAGTGTTGAATATTTGATGGCTGAAATGGGGGTCCTGCATTACGTATATATATTATAATTTGTTCTTGTTCATATTTGATCATATGACGATATTTACAACCTAGGCTTATCCTATAGTCAATACTGCTTAGTGCACAGATTTCTAAACATGTCCCCTGTAAGGTATAGAATTCATTTGCTAGTCTGATACATAGCCTATGGGGTTCTCAGGCTAAACATCCAGTTACATGTTTCACCCATTATTACATTTTAAATATATGCCACAGCAAATAGTGTAGACAACCTCACCCTGGATCTGTTTCACAAGCTCAGCTGTCTTTGTCATTTTCTCTATGGTTTCTAGCTTCTCACATGTATGGGCTTGCTGGTGCCTGTGCCTGTAGTACAGGATTCCCAGAATTAGAACTATTACAATTTTTTTATCATAATTTGCACAGCCGATAAATTCATTTCATACACCAGTGGTCAATCATCTTCTTACTTAGCAAGAAATTCTACATTGAAGATCACTAGATTTAACCAAAATTATCTCAGTAGTTGTACTGTGAATATCAGAATTTTAACAATTCCATGTAACAATCTAAAACAACTACTTACTTTAAACAAAAGTTTTTCTCACAATAAGGACACCGCACTTCAACTAGCTCATGGATGCTACAGTCCTTATGGCAACAGATATAAGTCTTTGTTTCACACACAGATTGGGGCTTTTCTTCAACATCACTTGAGGTCTACAGAAAGGTGACACACACAAATAAATATAATAAAATAAGTTTTTAAACGTGAATTAATTTATATAAGATTAAATTTATATTATGAAGTTATGTTTGTCATGTACAATCAATTGCTTTAAATTAACCTAATATTGATATATGTACTTCAGAGTGCACTGACCTGCATGCAGCAGTGAATGTGTGGAGACCTGTGGTGTTTACTAAAATGAAACACAAAAATGTCAGGACTGCTGTATTTGCAACTATTCATTCACTCATTCAATCTCTGCTGATATTAAATTACTGTAATATCCATTTAAAAATTATAGTAGCACATATAGAAAAAAATTTGACCTATATACAGTACTCACCAAAAAAACATTCCACAGCCATTGCACTCAAACGGCAGAAAATCTATGATAAACAAGGAAAATTACACTGTACAATTTCATATTAATACCTCAGTTATTCACAGAATAATCCCGGGCAGCAGATGAGCTGGCAGTAGTAAAATGATGCATGAAATAATTTTCTGTTAAAATATCTAAATGAGCATACCTGGAGAGGGTCCATTTAGGGCAACAATTTAGGGCAAAAGGGCAAAAATTGCTTTGAACTGGAAATTCTGGAATACAATTACAAATCTGGGGACTAGAGCCCATATAGATGCTAGAGAGTCATGTTTATAAATTCAGTTCAAGTGGAATGTAGAGTAATCTAACTAAAGGTAAATCAGGTTTTCCATGAGGATATAATATTAATTTGTGTAACCCATGGTTAGGGCTGGTGAGATGACAACTTTTAAGCCAAAAATAGGAGGCAATGAAAAAGACGATTCAACTCATTATATCTCAGTGTATAGTAAGTTCCCAGTGCTAATAGGGAGGTGAGCTTATAAAACATGAGAAACCTGAAGGGAGAAAACATTAAAAAACAAGAGTTTAGCTTTAAAGGAATACTTGACTTTAGGTGCTAGGGTTATTTTCAGTTGATTTAGGTTAAAATTACGTTACATTAAAAATCTCATGGTTTAATCACCATTAGAAATATTTTTTTTAATGTTTTAAAACTAACGACTACAGTTTTATTACAACGACGGTGGCGCCACTCAAAGTGCCCTATCTGAAGTTGCGCAAACGGACTTTTGAGCCAAGGGCTACAGACCGAGGGTGTTTCTTATTTATTAATTTAAAAGCTGAAGGATTGTAATATCTTATAAACGACATACAGTTTCAGTTATATTATGGATAAATTTGTCCTAAAATTAATATCGTTCAGTTAAATAGCATTTAGGTATAAATATAATTGCACCTTTGTGATTAGCCCTCGGTCTGTAACGTGCAAATTAAATGAGCAAATGCGCAACTTTTTCAGGGTGGCAGCATGGTCGTGCCCAAAAATGAAGATTTCGAAATTCAATGTTGTTTTATGACAAACGTGAATGCGTATAATTATAGATATTTATGCTGAGAGAGTCTATGTCCCCCGGGGTACTGCCGGAACGTACCCTGGGTACGGTCCGGTATACCGAAACGTACCCTGGCCCCCAGGGTACTGCTGGAACGTACCCTGGGTACGGTCCGGTATATACCGGAACGTACCCTGGTCACTATTTGATATGGTTACTTAGGGTTAGGGTTCGGGTTAGGGGGTAGGCGTAGGCGACTCCCTAGACTCGTTAGTGGAGTAGGCGAGGTACGGTCCGGCATATTAGATAGTACCAGCAGAGCATATAAATCACGTTGATTTATATGCTCTGGTAACATAGACCCTATGAGCGATATTTATAGGTATATGCTATTATTTATAAATCTACTATCATAATATCATTTCAAATTCTAGAGTAAAGTAGTCCTTTAAATGGTGAGCATATACAATCACCGCAGCTCTATCGGATCTTGCATAAATGTGGCATTGCTTAAAGATAAACAACACATGGCTTTGGAAAGCAAGCACTATACCCACGTTATCTTAATCGGCAAAGGGGGACAGGACCTCGATTAAACGTGATATTTTTCTGCAGAACAAACTCAACTGAATGTTGTAAAATTATCTTAAAAGCAAACTGACAATTCTTGGCTTTCAAGTGGATTCCGATTATAATATTTAATAAGCTCACATAACATTATTAGAGCCAAACTTATTTATATTGCCCTCTATGTGTAGTGTGTAGTCTGTGTCGCATACAGATAAGAGAGGTACGAGCACAGAGTAGTACTAGTAGTAGTACTAGGGCGTGTACAGGATTTGTACCAGGGGGGCGGGTCTAGACGACGTAAACCCAAACTTGCGAGCACACGCGAGAGGGGGGGTCTAGGGAGGAATTTTTTTTAATTAGACTCCCTTAGATGAGTTTTTGCTGCGCGAGCAGGAAGGGTCCGGACCCCTGGACCCCGCCCCCGCGCGCTGGACACGCTGCCCGACAGTATGTCGTACTAGTAGATAGTATAGTATAGTACTACTACTAAGTAGTAATGTAAGTTAGCTTCTAGTAGGCTATAGCGCCGCGTACAGTGCCACTGGGCAGCGGCAACTGTAGCGCGTAAGGCTTGGCCACAGTGACAGAAAATCAAGAATACAATGACTACATATTATATTGCCCGCATATAATCGACGCAATGGAAGGCAGATATATGCCCCGGCATATAATGCGAATATATCCCGCATATAATGCGGAGCCAATCAAATGCAAAGAATTATTCTCACGCATATCAATAATTCCAGTCGCGCGTTTTGACTACACTGTCCGTCCGGAAAACTCAAGAGGATATTCCACTCATAATAGACTTCCGTCGCCGTTAAACAATTGCCATAATGTATTGGAATCTGGTATCCGGGCCTCACGCTCTGCTACCACAAATGTACCACGCTCTGCGACGACAGTTCGCCGCCGAACCAAGTCTAGCCAGACGTGAAAATTCTCAAGCGGCGCAGGCCATAGCATCAATTTTGCAAGCGCCGTAGCATACATGCCATTACATTGTATCAAGCAACCAGACATGCGTCTAAGAACGGTCAAACGGGGACGAAGTTATTTTATGTGGAATATATTCGCTTTGCAATTTTTGGACGAAAAGTGGTCCAAAAACGGGGACGGAAGTTATTATGTGGTGACATAATTCCTTGATTTGATTGGCTCCGATTATATGCGGGCATATATTCGACTCATATGCTCGCATACTACTTCCTCGCTTGCCATTGGCGAATTATATGCGGGCATATTAATATGTAGTCATTGTATTCTTGATTTCTTGTCGCACTGTGGCCACCCACATATACGCGGGCTATAGTACTAGAGCTATAAGTATAATTAAGTCAGACAGTAACTCAGTATAGTAGCCAACTCTTGGAACATTTTCAAGGCTCCCGACATGTCCAGATAGACCTGGAACCACTGGCACTGTACCCGGTATGGGGAGGACCATTATTCAAACCTTCATCAGAACATGAGTTACTACGTTCTGAATTTGGAGATGTCATTCATGGATTCATGGATCATGATTCGTGACAATCTGAGAATCTGAGATGGCCACGCGCCGTTCAGTGTCCTGTAAATTATTAACTGCTCATTATAGCATAGTAAGTGCGTCAAATGACAGAAGCTACACACAGACAAAGTGTTCAAAGAAGCGGCCATGCTTATTACCGAGTTGTGCACAAGATTCAATGAAACAGTGCTTCCTAGTTGAGGAAATTCTGCCATGTTTAAAGAGACCGCGGATGCTAGTAAATCGTGATATCACTGCAAACCTACTGTATATTTACAATTAAATATATATATATATGACTTTTTAGTTATTAATATTGTGTATTTTTTATAAATTTATGTATTTAACATCGTTCATCTATTGTACTTTCATAACGAGAGATTATTCTTAAAGCGAAGCTATCTGGTTTTCCTGTGCGCTGCTACAGATCCGGAAAGCCATGCATTCTGCGAGATATTGACACATTGCTAGCTAGAAATTGTGCGTCAGTTGATGGTTTTGACACTAAACAATAGCCTAATATTCCTTATCATAAACAAAGGCAAAATGGCAGAAGATGATGCAGCGGTAAGAATAATCCTTACTTCTAATTTGATCCTGTGCGAAAACAAACGCTAATTTGGTCTTTGGTTACCGTTCAATGAACTGTAGCCTGGTACAGTGCTAGTGCCGTGGCATATTGTATGCGGATCGTTCATCGGTTCAATCAACAATGACAACGTGCCGATTAGTGTGATAACAAATAAGTAATTTTGATATTACGCCAGATGCTTTTATTAGGATTGTGAGATTTAGTGGAACCTACGGGTGGTGTGATACATCCTTAACTTAACCTACCTAAAAAAAGTAATACTAATAGTAATAAATTATGTCACCGGTGTACCGTAGTATTTGGACGCTCCGTAGGCATGCTCTTTTGTTTTGCTCTTGTTTTCTTTTGTTTGAATCTTGTTTTGGCACGCCGTAGGAATATAGTAGACATGCCTCTTTGTTTTCTTTTGTTTCGCCGTTGTAACCTGAACAGCATAACATCAGTCTACTAATTTACTAACATATTGCGGCCAGAGACTATAACCACGGCGGCCGTGTGATAAGATTCATTATGGCTATACGCAGCGGCGGCCGGTGTGGGCGACTCAATAGGCTATACGCACTGGCGGCCGTTGTGGATAAGATTCAATATTTCTATAAGCACGGGCCCGTATGGCCGACTCAATCCTGGCTAGGAATGAGGAAGGGGAGAAGGGAGAAGCTGGTGGAGAAAGGAGAGGGGAGAAGCTGGTGAGAAGGAGAAGGTGGGAGGAGAGGAGGAAGGGGAGAAGGACAGAAGTTGTGGAGAAGAGGAGGAGGAGAACTGGTGGAGAAGGAGGAGGGGAAGAAGGGAGAAGGTGTCGGAGGAGGAGGAAAAGCTGGTGGAGAAGGAAGAGGGAGAGAAGAGAGTGTGGAGAAGAGGGGAGAAGCTGGTGAGGAGGAGGAGGGAGAAGGTGGTGGAGGAAGGGGAGAAGGCTGGAGAAGGAGGAGGGGAGAAGCTGATTGGATGAAGGAGGAAACGAGAGAGGGGAGATAAGGGGAGGCTGGGGAGGAGGAGGGGGAAGAAGGCGAGAGAGCTGGTGGAGAGAAAGCGGGGGAGAAGCTTTGGTGTGAGAAGGAGGGAGGGGAAGAAGGAGAGTGTGGTGAAGCAAGGAGGCGGGGAGAAGCTGGTGGAGAAAGGAGGAGGGGAGAAGGGAGAAGTGGTGGAGGAGGGAAGAAAGCGGAGACGGTGGTGGAGGAGGCGGGGAGAAGCGGTGAGAAGGAGAGGGGAGAAGGGAGACGAGTGTGGAGGAGAGAGAAAGGAGAAGGTCGTGGAGGAGGGGGAGAAGCTGGTGAGAAAGGAGGAAGGAGTGAAGGAGGGGAGAGAAGGAGGCTGGTGGAGGAGGAAGGGGAGAAGGGAGAATGGGGATAAGGAAGGGAGACGGAGCTTGGTGAAAGAGGAGGGGGAGAAAGGAAAGGTGGTGGAGGAGAGGGGGAGAGGCTGGTGGACGAAGGAGGAAGGGAAGACAAGAGAAGGTGAGAGAAGGAGAAGGGGAGCAAGCTGTGAGAAGGTGGAGGGGGAGAAGCTGGTGGAGAAGGAGCGGGGAGAAGAAGGAGGGGGTGGGAGGAGAAGGAGGGAGAGAGCTTCTCTCCATCCTCCTTCCTGCACCACTTGCTCTCTTCTCCCCTTCAGTCCCTCCACCACTCTCCCCCTCACACAACCTTCTCCCTTCTCCCGCTCCTCCTTCTCCACCAGCTTCTCCCTGCCTTCCTTCTCGCACCAGCTTCATCTCATCTCTCCCGCCTCCTCCTCCAGCGCCACTCCCTTCTCCCGCGCTTCCTTCTCCCTTTCCTACTTCTCCACACTTTCTCCCCTCCTCCTCCACCAGCTTCTCCCGCTCTCCCCCACCTTCTCCCTTTCTCTCCTTCTCCCTTCTCCACCAGCTTTCCCTTCTCTCCACGCACCTCTCTTCTCCCCTCCCTCCGCTGCCACCAAGCTCTCCCGCCTCCTCCTTCTCCAACAGGCCTTCTGCCCTTCCTCCCTCTCCTTCTCGCACCAGCTTCTCCGGCTCCTCTCTTTTTCCACCAGCCTTCATTCCTTTCTCCTCCTCCTCTCGCATCAGCTTCTCCCTTCCTCCTACTCCACCACCTTCTCCCTTCTCCCTTCCTCTTCTCCAACCAGCTTCTCCTTGCTCAAACCTTCCTCATTCCTAGGCCATATGAGTCGGCCATCACGGCCGCCGTGCGTATAGTCATATGAAGCTTACTCCAGCGACGGCGCCGTGCGTAGTATGCCAACATTGAGTTCCGGCCACGACGGACCCGCCGTGCATATAGCCACATTGAGTCCGGCCACACGGCGCCGTCGTATAGCCATATGAATCTATCCACAGCGGCCGCGCGTGCGTATAGTCACTTTACATCATATTGCAAATGTCAATCAAATGTTCCTCAGTGTCGAAGAGCAAGATTGCGCGAATGACTACTGCCATGATTGCGCAGGCGGCTTGTGCGCTCCTTGCAAAACAAGAGGCCGCCTGCGCGCATGCGCACTTAGGAGCGTCCAGTTTCCCGGGCGATGCGTCCAAATACTATGGATACCTCACTGGCAACTAGGCCACATTGCCACTTCTGCCACATTTCCTGCAGAAATGGAAGTGCATTCACTGTATAGTAAAATTGGGTCAAAATATGTTAACTTGGTATTTCTATGCAACTTCTCACCTATGAACAAATTGAAGAGAGTTATTTGCCATCATTTGCAACAGTGTAATGCTCGCGTAAAACCCGCTGCCTCGCCCTATCTCATGCAGGTGATGCTTCCGGTAACCCCTCCCTCATCTACCAGCTGCGATGCTTCGTGTATAGCTCCTTCCGCGCCTCCCGTGCTGCGACTTTTCTGTAAACCCCTCCCCCGTCGTGCTCTCATCTTTCTTCTCTCTCTCCCCTGCACTCCTTCTCTCTCTCTCTATCTCTCTCTCTTCTCTCTCATCCTCTGCTCCCCTCTCTCTCTCTCTCTCCTTCTCTCTCCTCTCTCTCTGCTCTCTCTCTCCTCTCTCTTCTCTCTCTTCTCATCCTCTCTCTCTCTCTCTCCTCTCTCTCCTCTCCTCTCTCTTCTCTCTCTCTCTTCTCTCTCTCTCTCTCTCCTCTCCTCTCTCTCTCTCTCTCTCTCTCTTCTCTCTCATCTCTCCCTCTCTCTCTCATCTCTCTCTCTCCCTTCTCTCTCTTCCTCGTCTCCTCCCTCTCTTCTCTCCTCTCTCTTCTCTCCTCCTCTCTCACCCTCTCCTCTCGTCTCTCCTCTCCCTCTCTCCTCTTCTCTCTCTCTCTCTCATCTCTCATCTCCCTCTCCTCTCTCACCTCTCTCCTCTCTCTCTCTCTCTCTCTCTGCTCCATCCTCTCTCTTCTCTCTCCAATGGAACGATGGAACAGTAATTGTAGATCCTTGTCCAAAAATGTTTTTTACTCTTTCCCTCTTAGTTAGCAGTCTGCGACTGTCGTCCAAAAAATACTGATATGTGTGCACTTTGTGTGATAAAAGCATGAACTTAACTTTGGGCACAAAGTTAACTCTAACACATGTAACAAAGCAATTTGGTGATACTGATCCAAGCAGGTTAAGCTCTGGACTTCAGAGATCTCGCATTCACCCTAAAAATCGGCGGACTTGGAACCGAGGCGCAAATTTAATATGCTAAAAAACAGGCCTTAGCGTAACAAAAATAAACGTTGGAACTGG